GAAGAGACGAGAAAAGAGCCAGACATGAAAACTTTGCCGGCTTCATCTATTACTTGGAATATCGGATTTGTTTGGCTGAAAATTGTCAAGACAAAACTGTGTTTTCAGGCCTCGTCCACACGACTGCAGAGATTTTTTTTTAACCTTCGTCCTCACGACCCTCGTTTTCCAAAATATCTACAAAAACAAAAACTACAGACACTCAGACGGGCCAGTGGGGGGCGATAACACCAACGATCCGTCAACTACCAGAGAATAACATCGTGAGCATAACTTCAAATCTTAATGATATAGAAAGTAATTATACAATATATTTACATCCTCACTAATTAAAAAGATCAGTATCATTCTGATTATAGTTGACTGATTAAATTTTCCTTTAAAATGTGTTTTCCCCGATGTCCTTAACGGATCGACCTCGCTTCATTCACCGTCACGTGACGCTGTTCGATTCCAGACTTCGGCGAAAAACGTCTGATTTGATTTAAAAATTACAACTTTTCCAGAAAAAGGAACTCGAGGCGATGCCAGCGTTCTGAACTTGTTAAAACATTTGTGTAACGTGTCTGGTGCGAGCGAAAGGGAGAAGAAGGCGGTGACGGGGTGAGAGGAAAAGGAGTGAGATGGAGGGATGAAGGAGGGAGTGGGACCAGACGGGCAGGAGGGCAGAAAGAGGAGGAGAGAGACAGACCAAGAGAAAGAAAGAGAGGGGGAGAGCCAGCCTGTCAAACCAGACCGCGGCTCCACGCTCTATTTTCGACTACCACATAATTGAAACAGTATTTACTGAGATCTACTGTATGTCTCCCTCCCTCCCTCCCTCCCTCCCTCCCTCTGTCTCTCTGGCCCCACCACACTTCATTCAGACTCCTGGCAGCATCTCATGTGTGGCATTTTCTATAGGAGTTAAATGCAGCTGAGGATTTTTTTGTGTGTGTGTGTGTGTGTAAGAAAACGCCTCAATCGCTCTTTTGATGCTTAGGAGAGAGAAAAAAAAAACATTAACGATGAGCGACTCGCGCCGGCGTGGGGAGCGAGAGGGCGGCGCCTGGAGCCCGAGCCCTGGATGTTCATTAAGAAACCATAAAACATGATATGTTTCCCCCTTTATGTGCTTTGCCCATTAAATTATTCATCAGCAGCTTCTCTGCTGGAGAGCGTGATGGTGTGTTAATACTCGTAGTGTGCACGCACACACACACACACACACACACACACACTTTGGGAAGATTGACACCGTCTCTAATCCACCAATAGGCAGCATGTGTTACTGTCAGTGTGTGTGTCTATATGTGTGTGTTGACGCTTTCAATCTGTGTCAGTTGACACGTCCGTCTACCTGTTCAGTTTTCATGTAAATTAACAAAAGTTACAGACCTCCATGTTTTCATTCACACACACACACAGTCAGTGGCCACGTCTATTATTGGATCTCAAAGACTGAACGTTCTAACCTCTGAGGGTAAATGAATGAGTTCGATCTGATAGTGTGGCCACTGGTTGCAGCGTGATTCAGTGATATGTGTAAACCTTCCCTCTGCAGCAAATGAGTGTATCTGTGTTTGTTCTCCAGGTCTGCACGTGTAACAGTCTGTTCTCCGCATGTGTTCCTGCAGGAATGTGTTGTAAAGGCCTCACTGTGCCCCTTTAATTTTTCTTTTTACAGAGTGTGGTCAGTAAACACACTGAGGCCCACAGTAATCTGAAACTGTCCAACGTGACAGAGACAGACGCCGGGAAGTACTGGTGTCGCGCCTCGAACTTTGTAGGCAAGTCGGAAAACGCTTTCTGGCTTAAGGTGCACAACACAGGTAAATCCTGAGCACGGACCGACGGCCGCCTTACCCACAGTCCTCTGCTGTGTCTCCTCCGCTCCGCAGGGCTCCTCTCGGCTGTGGGTGTGATTTTACTTTTCTGAGCTTTTTAACGGGACAAATGTCTCTTCTGGGTTCTTAGTTTAAATGTTCACGGTAGATATCATCTGTTCTAACGCCCAGGGACACTCTGTCTTTACTACCGATCAATAACAAACACGATATCACACCTTTAATTAACGCAGCGACTTCACAAACCACACACACTCACACACACACCCACCTCCCACCAGCCCGATCATACAGCTCACACACAGACAGGCTTTTACATGAAAGCGTGCAGCAGGACTCTGATTCATGACTGGGTCTTGATGTCACTGTTCATTATTGAAGTCTGGTGAATGAGAGCCCCCCCCCCTCCCACTCGCCCACCCACCTCAAGCCACATCAGATACTGGGTTTGAAACACACACACACACACACACACACACACACACACACACACCCCCCCCCACTGATCATCACACCGACCGACAGGGGAGAAGCCACAGCGGCAGCACGCAGAGCTTCTTCTTGAGTTATTTCAAGGTTATTTACAGGAAACCAGTGAAAGTGAAGCAGTGTTGATGTTTATCATCAGCAAACAACATCTGTAAAAGACCCAGAATAGATCCCTGAGCCCCCCCCCCCCCCCGGATACAAACGGCTTCCTGGAAAATATACATTCAAAAACACATAACGAATAATAATATCGTCAAAAGCTGCTTCAAATGATTTTGAGAGGAATAAAAAGAAAGAACGTTCCTGCAGACAAAGAAGCGTCAGGTGAACTTTGTGCTGGTTCAGTTTAAATTCACAGGTGCTGCTGCAAGTGACAGATAAATGCACCCCCGGTCAAAACAGATCTCCAAATTATCAAGTTATTTTTTTTGTGTTTTTCGAGTTTCCAACACAAATCAAATTCTGGAGATGAGTGTGAGTATCTTAGATGAATTTACAGAAACAGATTTTGGGTTCGCCTGCGGCCTTAGGTTGAACCATCGAGCTTCTTTCCCAGCATGGTGACGGTGCCGCTTGGGTGTTTTTCAGGTGTTGGTGGTGGTGCTGTCGGCTGTCAGAGGAAAAAACAGCACCGCTGACCTCTTGACATCCTCGGTCCTTTCTCTCCAGGGTGTATTTGGTGTTTCCTCTAAGAAGCTTTGGGCTCACGATATCTCTTCTTTCTGTTTTCTCCTCCATCTTCTACGTCTCTCCCCCTCCACAGACGGCCGGTATTAACACCACAGATAAGGAGCTAGAGGTTCTCTTCTTGACCAATGTGTCTTTTGAGGACGCGGGCGAGTACACTTGTCTGGCAGGGAACTCTATCGGCTATGCTTACCACTCTGCTTGGCTGACGGTGCTTCCAGGTATATTCCTCTTCTCTCTGTGGATCTCTGGACTCTTTATCTCTTCCAATGTTACAAACGCCATGAAACTGATTGTTCCTGTCGTGTTTTTCTCAGTGGCACAACATTCAACACTCGTTTTCAGACCGGATCATGAAGCATTATCGTAAAAATTGTTGCTTGTTAACACACTTTGAGCTCGTTGCAAATGCGTCATCGTCCCTTTAATTTACCAAATCAAACATCCAAGCCAGCCTCCAGTGAAAGGCTCGTTTTAATCAGAGCAGATCGTCTGTTTTAAAGTCTCAAGGCTACGAGGCAATTTCAAGACATTTGTGTTTTCGGTATTCAACGCAGTAATTACCTCCGCTGGGAGACGCATATCACAGGTGCAATTACCTGCTGCAGGATAAACTACAAGTGATTACTGCCTCAACAGAGAGTTAATGCATTCTTTCATTGTACAAAGGCCAGTTTGTGATCTGCTTCTGTTTTGATTAATGACTCCCTGGAAATGAGAAAAGTGCTGCTGGGAAAAACAATAGTTATTAGGCGTGAATCCGATGTGCATATTTTGACCTGACGCTCAATGTGTGCAACCCCCTCCTCCTCCTCCTCCTCCTCTTACGAAGCAGTGAGCCCAGAGAAGGAAGACTACTACGTCGACATCCTCATCTACGTGACGGGCTGCGTGCTCTTCATCCTCGCCGTGGTCATCGTCGTCCTCTGCCGCATGAGGATGACCACGCAGAAGACGCTGCCCACGCCGCCGGTGCAGAAGCTGTCGAAGTTCCCCCTCAAGAGACAGGTAACAGAAAGTAGATACAAGATTTGTACAAGACTTCCCCCCTCCCTTCTCTCTCTCTCTCCCTCTCTGTTAAAGTTTTAGCGTATGAACAGTTTTGGTCAAATCTGGTGACGTAGGTGACATTCCTGCAGAGGTCTGAAGACATTACAGGGATTACTGGGAATCCTCGAGTCTCTGGAACACCTTTCTTAATTTCCAGTTGTGTGTTCAAGTCGGGCAAGGCTCTGGAAAAATGTGAAACTTTACAGAAAACTTTTTTCGAGCTGTTTCTCACAAGCAAATAAAAACTGCAGCCGAGTTCAGATTATTGCAAAAAAAACAAAAAGAGAGAAGGGGCGAGATTATTAACTCAGGAAAGAACTTTGAATTAAAGGATCATGGAAAAATAGGGTAATATTTCTGCATCAGTGCCACAATAGGAAACCTGCAAAACAGTTTATATTTGCATGGTCTTCCTTTTCAACCTCCACAACGATGCATAAATAAATCCAGGAGGTCGTTGCGCGTCTATCCGACCCCGTAGCTCTCTGTCCCGTTGTCATGGCGACGTGGCGCGGACGCTGGAAGGCATCACGCTGGTGACATGTGTTCACATTTATCTTGGAGCGGATTCAGCTCTGGGATATTTATGCCCTCCTGCGACTGTCAGTGTTAGTTTTAGATTTCACTCTCTGTGTAACACACACTCGCCCCTCAACTGTTTGGAGAGGAACATAAAGTGGAGCAGCTGCGTCGTCTGCAGAGCCCCGCGAGTCTCAAACCTCCGTCAGGTCTGAGTCAAATCCAACAGTTCACACAGGATACGAAAGCAGTAGGAAAATACTCCCATTCGCTTTCTTAAAGGGAGCGAAATGAGAGGATCGATACCATCTCATATGTCCGCTTAGGTTAGGTTAGCTTAGCTTAGCACAATGACTGGAAACAGAGGGAAACAGCTAGCTTTGTCAACAGCAACAAAATCTGCCCACCAAGTGATTCAACTCATCACGAATAATGCAAGAATAAATAATAATTAATTAATCAGTTATCTAGACTGTTCATGTGAATTTCCTAACCTGCTCCATTGTGCAGCGCTATTCTCGTGCACGAAGTTGTTACCGTCCACGCAGACATTCAGACTTTGCAGTTGTGCAAAGTAAACGATAGCATCTGTGGATTCTGGTTCATTATCACTTACAGACTGAGAGACAAAGAAAAGACATTTCACTTGTACGGCCAGAAGATGATTCAAGGATTTAATTAACTCCCAGTTAACAGGACGGGAATCAGACCAATGTCCGACCATGTCCAAGGAGGAGAAGGTTCATCAAGGCCAGAATAAAGAAGCTTCATCTTCTCCATTATCCACCGTCGTTAACATAACCTTCATTTTCTCCTGTCTCCGGTTCACTCTCGTATATAAACTTCTCTCCGAGCTCCTGAGCTTCTGTGTCTCCCTCTGTGTCTTATATAATCATGAGGCAACTGTCAGGCTTCATTCTTTTGGTTTCATGTGAGACTTGTAATCACCAGACGGTTCATCTTGTGTTCACACTGTGGATCCGACGATGTCACGAATGTCTAAAATGCAGATGAGTCAGTCATTATCCTGCCGGGCTCCCGCTGTGTGCAGGACGCAGCTGCTCGGCACGAGGCCCCAACTTTCCAGCTTCCTAATTGAAGGGTTTGTGCAGCGCGAAATGCGAAGGCTGCATTTTTAGAAAACTGTTGCTTTAAAAAGTCGTGCAGTTAATTTCCTGGAAAACGTGCACTTGAGTTTAAAAACTGAAGTCGGGGTTCAGCTGGAGAACTTGTCGTGTTTCTGATTAGTCCCTGTTCCGTGTTATGTCAGGTAAAAATTTCATCTCTTGGAAGATGTTGTAATTTTATCCCCTAAATCTTTTCTATTCCTGCGAGCTGCGTACACATGCTCTTATAAGGTAGCGCAGGGAAAGGTCTTATTGCATTTTTCTGTAATCTTCGCTTCGTTTTTTGCAAAGCTAATCTCCTGCTTCTCTCCTTTCTTTTTCATAACTCTGAGTAAATCTCCCATAAACCTCCTGGCATGTTCCATCAGATATTACTTCTCATGCCTCAGAAACGGGTCCGGGGCTGTTTTTTTTATTTTTTATTTTATTTTTGTTTTTGTTTGTTTGGGTTTTTTGTTTTTCAACATCCTTGTGGTTTTCTCATTTTCCCTCCGTGGGGAAGTTGAGGAGAGAAGTCTGGTAAGTGGACATGTTTGTTTCAGGACCCCACCCGAGGGGCCCGAGCCGCCACGCTCTGACACAAACAGATTCATCAGAAGCCTGGCGGGAGGGGGGGAGGGCCTCGGCTCGCCCCAGCACTCAGATAAATGGTGTGAGAGAGCGTCGAGCCCACAGGCTTCAGGTGGCGGCGCCACCGAGGTGGAAATGAAGCTCGCTGATGGATACAGACGTCCATTCCTCCTCGCCCACCTCTGCAACCCCCCCCCCCCCCCCCC